CCTGCATCACTGATGGTATGGGGTTGCATGAGCGCTTGTGGCATGGGCAGCTTGCATGTCTGGAAAGGCACCATTAATGCAGAGAACTATGTTCAGGTTCTAGAACAACATATGCTCCCATCTAGACGTCATCTCTTTCAGGGAAGACCCTGCATTTTTCAACACGATAATGCCAGACCACATTCTGCAGCAATCACAACATCATGGCTATGTAGGAGAAGGATCCGGGTACTGAAATGTCCAGCCTGCAGTCCAGATCTTTCACCTATAAAGAACATTTGGTGCATCATAAAGAGGAAGGTGCGACAAAGAAGGCCCAAGACGATTGAACAGTTAGAGGCCTGTATTAGACATGAATGGGAGAGCATTCCTATTTCTAAACTTGAGAAACTGGTCTCCTCTGTCCCCAGACGTCTGTTGAGTGTTGTAAGAAGAAGGGGGGATGCCACACAGTGGTAAAAATGGACTTGTCCCAACTTTTTTGGGATTTGTTGACACCATGAAATTTGGAAACAACAGATTTTTCCCTTAAAATGATACATTCTCTCAGTTTAAACTTTAGATCTGTGATTTGTGTTCTATTCTGAATAAAATATTAGATGTTGGCACCTCCACATCATTGCATTCAGTTTTTATTCACAATTTGTTTAGTGTCTCAACTTTTTTGGAATCCGGCTTGTAGAATTCAGTATTTATGGGGCATTGCTCTCATCTACCACCACACCAAATTCAGCTTAATATCTCTAAAAATGTCTGATTTATAGTTTGTTTGAATGAGAAAAATGGTGTCTTTGTTTGCTAATTAAATCACCGTGGTAACTCAAAATGACAGTAATAGTAACAACACATCCCAGTTCTAAGCCGGTTGTTTTGATATGACATTTGTGGGGAACACGTTGAGGTTGGGTCCAAATTAAAGTTGACAGAACAGCAGGATCCTCTTCAGGTGGATAATAACAGGCAGTGCCCAATTTAAAAAACTTCAAAGTAAATGAAAGTATTTATTTTTTATTTATTAAATTCAATGTGATATCCAACGAACTGGTTTAATATTTTAAACGTATATTAACTTTATACTTTATTCCTTCATGGTAGGATATTTAATCAATGTTTCCACAATTAAACATATGTAGGTTTGCATAGTTCAGTGGTTTAGACAACTGGTAAATCTATGTTGTTTTCCTTCTTCATGTGAATCTGGTCTTTTCTTTTGTCTTAAAATGTAAAAATAGCATTAAATTTGTACAATCATTAGATATTTTTAATTTTATAATGTCACCTCTACTGGCCAGAAAAAAACCCATTTAACAAACTTGAAGTGGCCCATGGGCCACCAGTTGATAATCCCAGTTGTAGCAGGTTTTGTGGCTCTGGACACATTTTATTTAGTAAGCAAAGGGGCCGAAATGGCTCTTTTGATTGCAAACGTTGTTCTAGAAGGTGTCTTTGTAGGGGTGGTTAAATATGCACACATTTAATTTTATTTTATATACATTAAATTACTTTAACCAACCTATCATCTTATTTCACATCTTAAATTTATCATGCTGAAGAATTTCTTGTTAAAGTAAAAAAATCCATTAAAATTCTAGTGTTTACATCAATAAAATAAAAAGAGGGGTGAACACCTTTGCACCTACTGTAGAGGAATGATGAATGGGACCGTCTGATTTATGACAAATACACCCACACTGTGTATTTCTGACCTAACAAACTATACTGTATGTTCCAAGTTTCAAATGAAAGACAGTGGAGTGAAAACAACCAGGCTGCAGCTCAGCTTACTCTTCTGGTTTGATTCCCAGCCGCTCTCCTCGGTCCATGTTTAGCGTTCCCGCTCCCTGTCCATAGCCGTAGCCTTTGGGGCCGTATTTCTTCCCATAGCATGACTTGCAGTAGATCTCCTGGTCATGACTTGCCACTGTGGTGCTGTCCAAACCCTTCCTGCAGACCACTGAAGACACACACGCAAGAAGTTAGAGAGGAAAAATGCTCAAAGTAATATTAACTAGAGAAGGAGCATTGCAGGAATACTGAAAAGACCCTGATGTTGCAGATGAAATGTCATCATCAGTTATCAACAACTGTTAACACTTGAAAGGGTTTGTTTACTGCTTGAACTGCAATAAATCAATGATTATATTTCATTCATGCTCTGCTGTTGATTATGTTTGGTCAGTCCAACAGACTCTTACTAGTCTTGATGCCAACACTTCATGTATATATATATATATATATATATATATATATATATATATATATATATTCACTAATCTCTTGCAGCCCTACTCCAGATCAGTTTTACATCCAATCAACAGTCGAACGTTAAAATTTGAACACAGTTCAGTGTTTCCATATTCAGTTCAGCTTATTTATAAAGCACTAATTCCCAACAAAGTTGTCTCAGGACACAAACATTCACATAAAAAAATCAAAAAGTGTTAAGTCGGGTCCTCTGGACGGGTTCAAAAAATAATAATAATAAAACGTCCAGAGGACC